GGGACAGCGGCGCTGAGCCCCTTCCCGACAAAAAGGGTCTGCGGAGCAAAAAGAACCCGACCCCGGGGAAGGCACCCGGGACGCCGGGGAGCAGAAAAGGTACAGCGGTGCCGGTCGAGTGCCCCACATGTCATAAAACCTTCCTCAGCAAATATTACCTTAAAGTGCACAACAGGTAAACGCTCCGACTTCTTCCTTTTGCGTTCGCGCCCTGCCGGGCTCAGCCCCTTCCCACCGGCTCCTCAGGGTCCTCCGGGACAGAAAGGGGGGTCTGCTCTGCCCCCGGGGGGGGTGGCATTGAAGTGGGGGGGTGATACCCCTCCAAAACGCTTCCATGAGCTACAGCAGGCATCCTGGGCTTTTGCTCCCAGGGGCTGGAGCAGCCTGGCTGCAAAAGGCAACGAGGGGCAATTCCAGGGGATGTCCTGGCTGCAGGTGGACAATGGCAAATTGTCCTGGGATGTGGAGAACAAGCCATGGGTACAGCCCAGAGCAAAGCAGGTGCCTGCAGGGAGGCACCAGCTCCAGCCTGGCTTATCCACGAAGGCTGAACCAGCCCTGTATAGCCGAGGCCTCACAGTGGGCACCAGCAGCTCCACTGCTCCCTGCTGGGATCAGCTCTGGTGCTGGGGGTATAACAGCTGCTTGGTCCTTCCCTCTCCCTTCCCAGCACCTTCACCAGGCCTGGCAGTGTGTCCTGCACTGATGGGTGCTCTCCACTTGCGTTCCCCCTAGGAAGCACACTGGAGAAAAGCCATTTGAATGTTCCAAATGCGGCAAATGTTATTTTAGAAAAGAGAATCTCCTGGAACATGAAGCCAGGAATTGTATGAACCGATCGGAGCAGGTATGTGTGGGAGACCAGCACTGGTGCTGCAACAAAACCCCCATATCACCCGTGTGGCACGTGTACTGCAGCCAGGACCCCCCCAGCCTGCTGCCAGGGTGGCAGCAGCTTTTTTCTGATTTACCAGACAATTCTCAGGTTCTCTGTTTTCATCAAGCACCCAAGGACACTGTCCTGTGAAAGATCCAGCTCCCAGGGGGCCCAGTGCTGCTCTGAGCTGCAGCCTCACATCAGACCCTGGCTCTGCAGAAGCTGATGCCTCCCCCCTCTCTTGCAGGTTTTCACGTGCTCAGTCTGCCAGGAGGTGTTCAAGAGGCGAATGGAGCTGCGGCTGCACATGGTGTCACACACAGGGGAGATGCCCTACAAGGTCAGCAGTGCCTGCCCCCCACATCCTTTCAGACAGCTGCTGGCATTCAGGCAGAGGGGATGAGTTGTTCTGTTTGGGCCAGCCTGGCCCTGCCCAGCAGGGCAGCCGAGCACACCAGCTCCCTTCCCCAGGCTGTGGCATCTCACCGAGATTGTTCCCTATCTCTGAGCCAAAACAGAGGCACTAAAGATAGGTGCTTTCTGCACCTTACCAACAATTAGTGTTCCACCTCAGGATGGTTCCTGCCTGCCCGTTGTGCCAGCACACTGTCTGTCTTCTCCTCACACCAAAATCACTGTGGGGGCCACATCTGGAAGCTGATCCTGCTCTCCTGTGTTCCAGTGCTCATCCTGTGCCCAGCAGTTCATGCAGAAGAAGGACCTGCAGAGCCACATGATCAAGCTCCATGGCGCGCCCAAGCCCCACGCGGTGAGGGGAGGGGGTGGGCAGCCACCTGTCTTGGAGGGGGAATCATCCTGCACCCTGAATGGCACCCACGGTCCTGTCAGCTGCTGGAAACAGTTTTTTGGTTGACAGACCCCAGTACTGACCAGCATTTCACCTCTGTCAGGCTGCCTCATCCTGTTGGGTGTCTGGGAGCCGGGGGTGCTGCCCCAGAGCAGCAGAGGGGCAGGTCTTGGGCTGCCTAACCCCTGCTCTCCCGTGGCCTTGCAGTGCTCGACCTGCTCCAAGTGCTTTCTGTCTCGGACAGAGCTGCGCCTGCACGAGGCCTTCAAGCACCGGGGAGAGAAGCTGTTTGTCTGTGAGGAGTGTGGGCACAGGGCCTCCAGTCGCAATGGCCTGCAGATGCACATCAAGGCCAAGCACAGGTAGGACGTGGCCCATGTCCTTCCCCTGTATCACTGTGGCTCTCCTGGCTGTGCTTCCTCCCCCTGAGCGGCCAGCTGGGTGGTAATGGGGAGAGGAACTGGCTGGGGGGCGTAGCAAGCACCCCCCTTCCTGGAGGTGCTGGGCTGAAACTTGTGCCAGAAATCTGGTGAGGGGCCAACCCACATGCCACCTTTTAACTTCCAAAGGGAGTGTGAGCTGTCAGCACTTCAGCTGAGTGTGCACCATAGTGACACAATGATGACCAAAGCTCATCAGCTCATCTAATCCATTTCTTGAAGTGACATTGTGCAGCAGCTCACACACTTGTCCTTAGCTTTCTGTTTCCTGGGCTGGTTATAATGCCCGAGGGGTGGGAGGCTCCAGCTCCAGAGCCCTTAGCTGCAGAATAGCACTTGTGGGCCTCCAAAATACTTCAGCTTGAGATAGGTTGAAGTAGGATTTGATTACAAGAGCTGTGGGCGAGGAGCAGCAGCTAACCTGAGGGGCTGAAGCTGGCAAAGGCCAACGAAGGTGCTGCTTCCCCTGCCCGCAGGAACGAGCGGCCCTACGTCTGCGAGTTCTGCCACCACGCCTTCACACAGAAAGCCAACCTGAACATGCACCTGCGCACGCACACGGGCGAGAAGCCCTTCCAGTGCCACCTCTGCGGCAAGACCTTCCGTACACAAGGTACCCCGGGCGCACGGCTGGGTTGCTGCTCCGAGCGCTGCGGCCTCCAGGGAGCAGTGGGACGAGGGGCAGCACCGCTGACCCGCAGCTCTCCCTCTCTCCCAGCGAGCCTGGACAAGCACAACCGGACCCACACTGGGGAGCGCCCCTTCAGCTGCGAGTTCTGCGACCAGCGCTTCACGGAGAAGGGGCCCCTGCTGCGGCACATCGCCAGCCGGCACCAGGAGGGGAGGCCCCACTTCTGCCAGATCTGCGGGAAAACCTTCAAAGGTAACGGCCGGGGTGTCAGGCTCTTGCATGGCTCCCGAGAAGCTGCCCTGCTGGTGCTGCGGGTCAGGGTCCCTGTGAGCCTGCACGGTGCGATGCCGCCAACGGGCTCTGCCTCCCTCAGCTGTAGAGCAGCTGCGTGTCCACGTTCGCCGGCACAAGGGCGTCAGGAAGTTCGAGTGCACCGAGTGTGGCTACAAGTTCACGCGGCAGGGGAGGCCTCCCCTGGCAACCACCCTACTGGGGAGGCGGCCCTTCCCCGCCTCTCCTCCAGC